TTCCATACAGCATGATGTTCATTTAGTAACTGATGGTCCCATTTAGAGTAAAACAGACCATAAAGCAGGGTATGCTTTAGGGCGGGGCTACCTTGTGATTGACAGCTCATTCTCAGTGAGTCCGTCCAGCTCAACGCACCAAACTCAGATCAAACTGTCAAACAGTGCTGATGCCCTTTAAATGCTCCACTCTGCTCACCTGCTAGCCTCTACCTGTGTCTGTCTGCTGTTTGACGTTGCTAAGTGAGATTGAACCAAAAACAGCAAAGTTGTGGGCCAGACAGCCAAACAAAGAGCTGACTGCCACTTTAAAGGAACCTTTATGTCTCAATTTGAAGAACATAGAGCCACAAACCGAGCCGAGGCATCGACCAACGGTTCGGTCTGTCCTGTCTGCCGCTCTGTGGGGTCAAAGGTCGACAGCACAGTCCTGGTGTGACATCAGAGGACGCTGTGAAACTCTGTTTTGTCATTCACACTTGTTCCACATCTCCTCACGTCTATGTGACAGACCTGCACCATCCCATAATCCCGAGCGTGTGATGTCACAGGGTCGGCCACAGGTCAGACCAGGTGACTTATCGTCCCTCTCAACGGTAATGATGCAGGAAACACGATGCATCATCTGTCTACGCCTGGACAGATTTCACAGATGGAGCGTTTCATTACTGTCCCTCCATCAGAACCGGTCGGCGTAGCTCGCCAGACCATAGCGCCAAAATGCATCACCTGTCCGGGCTTCGCCAACCCGGGGAGCAGTGAGCCTGAGAAATAACGTACGTCTCTGTTATTGCATCAGAACATATTCACAAACGCTGTGACAGAGCTGTGACAGAGCTGTGACAGAGCTACGAGCCGGTGTTTCAAATTATGAATGTGAACTCGGGCTTTGTTGGCAGACATGGAGCCATCTTTTTATTTTCCATGTGACACTTATTAGTTCACACTCCTGCTGTGTGTGTGAGTGTGTGTGTGAGTGTGTGTGTGTGTGTGTGTGTGTGTGTGTGTGTGTGTGTGTGTGTGAATGTGTGTGTGTGTGAGTGAGCTCAGACTTTTACTAAGACATTATCACAAACTGTGACAGCCAAGTTTCACCTCGTGCTTAAAGCGATAAATTCTGACTGCATGTAGCTTTCACATTTTCTCTGCACTTGGATGTCCGTAACAAGGAGGATGTGAATTAAAGGTCCAGTGTGTAACATTTATGAGGATCTAGTAGTAGAGATATAATATAATATTCATAGGTATGTTTTCATTACTGTATAATCACCTGATAATTAGAATGAGATGTTTTTATCTATAGAAGTGGGTCCTCTTCTCCATCCATAGGCGAGGCATTCTTGATTGTGAGTGTAAGAAAACATAATATAAATATATATATATATATATATATATATGCCTGTATCTCAGCATTTCAGACACACTAGATTTGTCAAAAAACAAAGCCTATTATGTATGATTGTAAATAAAATACATAATACTGACGTATTCAGATGTTTTCTTCAGTTGCAGTGTGTTGAGCTCTCAGAGCCACCGTATTATAAATTATATAATATTAGCTCCAACACAAACAGTGAAGTTACACATTAAAGCTTCATTAATCATAATCCAGTCATAATAATAATAATGGCTTTGAATGAGGATTACATTCTTCTGATAATTGAGTATTTTTACTTTGAGGTAGTCTTACTTTTATTAAAGTAAATGATATAATTACTTTTTCCACCATTGGTTTTCAGTATAATATAACTTTTTATAGGTGGTTTGTTCCACTTCCTCAACGTTTGAATTGAAAACAATAAATAATAATAATAATAATTTCCACCTTGACCTAGAAATGCAGCATTTACACGAGTAAACAAAACACTGTAATCTAACATCTCTTTCTCTGCTTCAGACAGAACAAGAATTCTATTAGCCCCTCTAATGAGATTAGCTTCTCTGTTAAACCCCACCACCCCCAAGTTACACTTACATCACCAACACTGCACAAATTATTATATAAAAGTGGGTCAGTTAAAAGTCCAAAGTTTTGTGTTACAAACACGACAACAAACGAGACTAAAGGCTTATAGGAACTCTGGCAGCTCTGAAACACACAGGGGACGCACTGTGTTTGTCTTCCTTGTGTTACATCTCCAAACCTGCAGCTCTTGTGGGGTGTTCCCGGTCTGCAGAGGTCAGTACCGATCAAAGTGGTCCAAGGAAGGAAAAGAACCGGAGACAGACGAGCTACTGTAGCTCAAACTGCTGAAACAGTGAATGCTGGTTCTGATAGAAAGGGGTCAGAACACACAGTGCAGAGCAGTCTGCTGGTCCGGGACCCGTCAGGGAGCCCGGGGGTCATAACATTAGTGCTGATTGGTGTAAATCTGAGTAGGAGTGAAACATCCAGACTGACAGAGACACAATAGTTTGACATTATGGGAAACTATGAAGCTAGGCCTTGGCTTAGCTTAGCATTAAGACAGGAAAACAAGGGGTATCAATCTTATAATCAAACTTTTGGCAACAAGGCCGATGTGTAAGTCAATGATTCTCAAACTTTCTTCCAGTTGAAATATTTTTCACCCGGACAAGCTCAAAACATTTTAGGTAAGAAATAAAAAATCCTGTTTTTAAAAAGTACAACACAGCGTTTCACCATCAGTGTCTGATTTATTAAACAGTGACCTTGTGAAATGTCTTGAGAGAGTTGCAGCTTGTTGAAGTAAATCCCATTAAAACACATTCTTCCTTTATACAATCCTCTGTCTGTCTTATGTATATTTAACATTTTTACCATCTAAGCAAACAATTCCTTGTAGTTTTCTTCACAGAAATGAATAAAAATGCTGATAAAGGCCTAAAGCAGGAATTTTAAATGTTTTCTGAGAAATCAAGAAGGCCTGGCAACCCCTAGTGGGGGTCCCGACCCCAGGTTTACGAACCTCTCCAATAAAACATACTGGAATCACCTTTTCTAACATTTAAAGAAACGTATATTCTTATTGCACCTGAGAAAGGAACCTTGTCTCCCTGTTGTTCTTTAGTTTGGAATGAAATACAGAAAACATCCGGTTTTAACTTGTACAATGAACAAACCAAGCCCCTCTTTCAACTCATGTGAGGATGTTCAGGATTATCCCGATAATGGAAGATCAACGTATTTATGCTATATACGCTCAAAGTTTCGGTCAAAAGTTTATTTTTGTTTATTTCTTTTACATATTTCTTTGCATGTTTAGATGTTTTGTTTTTAGCTTTGTTCTTTCCTTGTTCTCCTGTTTGCTGTGTGTGTATTTGTCGACCTCTGTAAATAAAGTTGTGTTGAGGATTCAAACTGTGAGCCGGACCGGTGGCCGATCCTCAGATCTCAGGCTCCTCCCGGTGGTCAGATGGAAGAGCAGCACAGAGCCTGTGTGTGTGTGTGTGTGTGTGTGTGTGTGTGTGTGTGTGTGTGTGTGTGTGTGTGTGCGTGTGCGTGTGTTCAGTGTTAGTGAGGAGCATCTCTGCATGGAAACATAATGTATGAGCTTCATCATGACTGTGAGCTTGTTGTTCCCACACAGAGGAGATGGGGGGTGGGACAGCAGTGTGCATGTGTGTGTGTGTGTGTGTGTGTGTGTGTGTGTGTGTGTGTGTGTGTGTGTGTACTTAGTGCCATGTATGACAGCCTGGCGTGTGCACAGCGGTGCCTTGTCCACATGTGAAGCCATTATGTGTCCCAGTTTGTGCCAGTGTAACTCTCTGTCATCATTACTGTGTCAGGGATCAGACAGGAAAACATTCTGATTTGTGTTTGTGCAACTGGTGGTTGACCAGTAAACACCAGTGTGTTAAAGGATCAAACTGGGAATAAACTGCATTTTTTCTTTTGTCAGCAAGTCCTGTGAAAAGGCCAAAATCAACAGTGTTGTTAGTTTTACTTTCTGACTTGCTGTCTATGGCTCCACTGGTTCCTACTGAAGACGTAAATCTTTAAAGACATCACACAAATATATAGTTTCATAAAAAAAAAGGCTAATTAATTGAAACAGCTGGTCAATATATTTTTATCAAACAGGAGGAAATAGTGCATTTGTTGGGGACTATTTTCAGCGGCGGACTAATCCACATTTAGGGCAGCAGGATGCAAAAATAATTACATTTAGTGTACTTTCATTGACAAGTTATAGTGTCCCACAGGAATCTAAAGCATGATTTTCCTCCCAAAACACAATATTATTTTGTTAATTTTAAACATATCTAACAAGCAGTGGTGGAAGAAGTATTCATATATTTTACTTAAGAAAAAGTAACAAAACCACAATGAAAAACTCTTCTGATAGTAAGTAAAAATCCTGCTTTCAAAATCTTATTTATGTAAAAATATGAACAGATAAGTGTCAAAAGTAAAGCTACTTATTAGGCAAAGTGTTACATATATATGTATATATATATACCAAATAACAAAAATTTGGTTCACAGCTTTTTTTTTCTTTAATGACAACAAGTAAAAAAAATACAGAATTTCTTTTTTTTTTTTTTTTTAAGATTAACGTTTTTCTAAAGAAGAATTATTTAAAAAAATTGAGGTCAGCAAAACTTTCAAAAATGTATTTCAAGAGTTTGACTTTTTGGTGAAGATAGTTGACTATTATACGTTTTGTCAAACAGTTGTGTAATTTATGCATATATGTAAATGTATGTAGTATATGCTCATGTATATGTATGTGTGTATATGATAACTACTGTATGTTATCATTAAATTTCACAACAAGGAGACTAATCCAACTTTAAACAGGTCTGTCTTACCTGAAGAGTATTTAGTATTAAATATACTGTATATATATGTATATTATGTATATATATATATATATTAGTATTTATCTATGTGAGAAATGTTTCCAGCTGCCAACATTCCTCTGCTGGATTCCTCCCAGAATGCATCAGGGCCACCAATACAGAATGACCCGTCCAGCTAAAACAGATGCAAGTATTTTAGTAGGAGGCTGCGAGTCCTCTGCTGGCAGGCGCTTAATGCAATATGTGCCCGTAAGATGAAGTCACAAACATTGCAACTGTAGTCGACTCCCACTCGCCGGGCAGCACAGACGGGGCATTATGTGGACGAGTACCAGCTGGTACCACAGGCTCCTCATCCTCCTCCGGGACTTCATTTGTTGCTGCCTCTGAAATCAGGACATGGAACTGAAATCGAAGAGCAAACCTGTTCTCCTCGGATGCATTGTCGCCGTCTGCTTTTGTACACTTTGTCCTGCTGAAAGACGTGAGTAGAGCTCTGATTTCTGTGGAGGGCGTCATCTGTCGCTGGTGAGGGCAGGAAGGGATGAGGATGTTGATGAGGCTGCAGAGTGTCAGTGAGACAGACAGTGAGATGTTTCCTTTCCTTCCTTTAAAGCAGTAGTTCACAACCTTTTCGGCTTGTGGACCCTAAAAGATGAAGCTACGTCTACTTGTGATCCCTCACGAGAAGAAGAGAAGAGTGATTTTTCATCTTCTGATTTCTATTTTGAAAGAGTTTAAGAGGCCTGAAGAGGTCAAAGAATTCAAAATTTCACAAGAAAAAAGAAGAAAAGTCAGAAAAAAGTGAACATAACTTTGTGAAACTTAAAGTAATCTGGTGATCTTGTCCGATTTTGGGGGCCATTGGAGGTTCCTGACCCTCAGGTTGGGAACCATTGCTTCAAAGGACAGAAAATACAGAAGAATTCTCACTGTTTTAAAGGGTTCATTTATGTTTAATTCATCAGAGTTGGTGGGATTTGTTTTCAATGCAGCATCAAAAAAACAGTACATATTGTCAGATATCACAACAGCACCAACATTAAAACTTTAGGACTTGATATTAACCTTAATGTTTAAAACAAACAAGATAAAATGTGTTAATGAGTGAGCTTTACAGGTGCTGGCAGGCTGATGTTGTTTCCTTCAGACTGAGCCAGGCTAGCTGTTTCCCTCTGTTTCCAGTCTTTATGCTAAGCTAAGCTAACGTGCTGCTTGTTATAGCTTAATATTTATTATGCAGACATGAGAGTCTTCTCATCTAACTCTCCACCAGAAAGGGAATATATCTCAAAATGTTGAAATATTCCTTTAAGTACAATATCACATAGGGGCCCAACTGTAAGTTTTTGCCCTGGAGGCCCCGAACAGATTGATTCAACCAGAAACACTCTTCCTGGGTCGAAAACAAACAAACAAAGGAGACAAATAACCAGTATAAAAGTCTCAGTAAGGATATACAAAGACACTCAAAAATCAATAAAAACACAACAACAACTACACATTACAACACATCCAGTTACAATCCATCTGACTTGTTTACATCAGTTAGTTTAATTCATGTTTTAATGTTACAGGATGAAGCAGAGATCATTCAGAATGTTTCCGCCCCTAGGATGGCGAAGGCATGACATAGCTCTATCCATTGTTCCTGAGTGGGTGGATAATTCATACTTTTATGTAGTTGTCTCACCCGTTTGTGGGCCAGTATTGATCTGCTCCTGAGGATCCATACTCCCTGAAGTCAAGCAGCAGAAGTGACAATGTGCAAATGCCATCGGCCCAATTTTAGGTGAACTAAATACGCAAGAGTAGGACGTTTATCTTTTTACTGGAGAGCTGCTTTAAAAACAAATTGAGGCGTAAATTTAGAGTTCAACCACTTCTTCATGCAACACCGAGTATACGCGTGTAAGGTCAGATTGTTTATAGAAGTAAAAGTATGTAAATATAATCCTGGAAATGTACTTTCAGCATTAAAAGTAAAAGTAGTGAACGTAGAAATGTTTTGTAGCTTATAATGACATTAATGTAAAAGCAGGACGTAACTGTTGTTGGTTGAGGTTGAACTCATTTTGTATCAGAGTGCAACTATTATTGATTATTATTGTCAAAAATAGTGAGAAATGCTGTCACAATTACCCAGAGTTCAATGGGACAGCAGGCCAAACATCCCTTATTACAAGTACATTGAAATTATTAAAATAACCCAAAGGAAAAGCAGCAAACCTTCACATTTGAGAAGTGATCAAAATTGTTGTTAATTAACAAAACATCATATTTTGTAAACTTTCCATATGTTTTGTGCCAGAATCTGTTTTTGTAAAGAAACTAAACATTCAGATAAATGAAGTAGAATGAAAAGAAAAGACTCAAGTAAAGTGCTGGTAATACGTTTCCCAAAGTCATTACTGATAACTAAACACACGTTATCATAGTCCTGTAGTTCTTTATCTCTTTAGTTCCCAGTTATCCTGTTTTTCCTCACAGACTTGGTGTTGACTGTGTCTTTTATCTAAAATAATGTGTCTCACCTCTGTCAGTTTGCACGGTTCCTCCGGGCCCCGTCACGGTCCCAGAAAACAACACGGCTGACGTCCAGGTGGTGAAAATCAGCTCCAGCGACGATGTAACACTTACAGTCACTGTGAACCCTGAAGATCTGTTCTACCTAAAAGGGGACGAGCTGATGGTGAAGAAAGGACTCGACTATGAGGTGATTATAGATTATAGCCAGACTGATACTGGATATGAGTTAAAGCAAACATTTTGACAAGGATGCTTTAATTTGCTTTAAAGTGTTTTCTAATGGACAAACTATATCAGACAGTTTTACCTCAAACATGTATTTGGCATTTCTGTAGTTTACTGCATCTTGTTGTTACTTATTGGTCAAAATATACTAATATAAAGACAATATCTGTTATTATATCTGTAATCCAGTTTAATAAAAATATCCCAGCAGAAAAACATTTTAAAATAAGAAGAGTGATTTATATGATGTTTTGTACAACATGTAGTTTAGATTTAAAGGTTTGTTACAGAGTAACATAGAGCTCTGATTGGACAGATTCTTTCAGTCAGGAGAGCCAATCAGGGCCCAGTCCAGCTGAGGGATCCACCAATACCACTTTGTTTCAGACTAAATACAAATACTTACATTTGGGTATGCCAATATGAGTTCTTAATAATGCCATTACAGTTCAAACAATTACTTTAAAAACATGTTTTATTCTTATTAGATGTTCCTCACTTTCTGACTGTAACTAATTTAATGTTGCTAATGTTGTAAAAGTTCTAAAATATCTCCAAATTGCTGACATTGCCTCTCCTCAGCCTTCCTGCTCCGCTAACGAGAGGTTACGTAGCATCACGTTGTCGTAAAGTGGAATCAGAGTAGTTTTATGATTACAATCACGAATACATGAGCTCAGTATCTAACCCGATACCCGATCTAGTATCTGTGCATCTCTACTTCCTGAAGATAATCTGAAACTTGGTGCAGAAATTGATTTGAACAACTCAATCCAAATGAAAATGAATCTACACTTGCAATTTTAGCAATTATATCCGATCATATTGATGTTCAGTTGAGTGTAATGGTGAAAACTGATTTAAGATTTAAGAAAACAAAATCTAGATGAAGCCTATAACTCCCGAATGATTAAGCAATTGTCCAAAGATTGCACATGGGGAAAATGTAACTTCCTACAAGACAACTCATTAAACAGTTATTTTACAAAACCATGGCAAAATCATTACAGGTGTTTAAGTTAAACTAGAAAATTCCTAAAGCAATTTGATTGTGCCTTGCCTGGCCCGTGACACTGGCCCATACATTACTACACTGCCGAGTAGTTTACAGTACAATGAGGGAGACACCCGTGTTTAATTCGGCGTACGCGTGATCCACTAACAACCACGTATTTTAATGACAAATCTTGTTTTTCCATCTATTGCCACGGTCTTGCCCACTGAAATAGTGAGGCTGGTAACGAGTTGATGCGACAAAGTCGGCCAAAAGTTGGTATTTATGTATTATATTGATGCCGAATTAACAAGAAGACTGTTGAGATATGATGGGTTTTTCTTGTGTTTCTACAGTTATGTGCATTTATGTAAGTGCAAATATTTGTTAATATATGGTATTTCTTAAATGGAGTTTGGCATAATATTGTCCTGGGATAATGCAGGAAGGGTCATAGTTTAATTAAAATTGCTAAAGTAACTAAATAAGTAATAACCACAATGGTGGGAATAATAAGTATGTAGTTATAATAATAATGATAATAATAGTAATAATAATAAGAACAATAATAAGTAATGCTATCAATAATATGAATAACAATATTTATATTAATAAATAATACATAATTAAGAAAGCAAACTATTCTTACTGTGCAGTCATAGGCAGTTACAACAGTCTGAGTGTCTTCTTCCTCACAAAATAAATCTAACTTGATGTTTTATTACATTAGTAAATCTGTATAACTTGTGTCAGGTGTAACAAGTTGAAATAGATGGCTAATTAAGAATTTCAGTGTCTTTTGTGACGTTTAATTAGCACAGTAATCCTTTGTCCTCTCTAGCTAGCGAGTGCTAGCATATTCATACCTTGTTCTGTCTAGCTAGCTTGCGCTAAAACATTAGTAGCTTATCCTCTCTAGCAAGCAAAGCATTTTAATTAATTAGCTAACCTTCTAATACCTTCTTCTACCTTCTAATTCTCTTTAGCTAGCTTGAGCTAGCACACATAAACACATAACCAGAGCTAGCGCTAGCTACGTGCTAATCGCTAGCTAACTGCTAATCGCTAGCTCCGCGCTAATCGCTAGCTATGCGCTAATCGCTAGCTAAGTGCTAGCTTTGGTTAATGTGTTTAATTGTATTATGCTCCTGAAGGAGTGCTAATGTAAATTAAGGAACAGCTCATAGTAGGGTAAAATATTTAAGGTGTATTGAACTTATTTTGTGTTAATATTAAAATCATTCAGCTTTAAATTGTTTGATTGTTAGCCGCCTGCTAATTATCTTTAGCTAGCCAGCTAGCGCTAGCTTATTAATAGCTTAAATGCTCCTCTGTAGCTAGCTATGTGTGTGTGTGTGTGTGTGTGTGTGTGTGTGTGAGCAGGCTTTGGTTGTCATGGCAATCAGGGGAGCCCACAGCAGCTGCGCACGCTCTCTCTCTGTGTCTAACTCCTCAGAGAGACAGAAAACAATTAAAACGAATCCCCTCAAAAGCATGGCCAGGAACGACCGAAAGAAAACCGAAAACACCGTGGGCGTCGTCATCTTGTTGACTATAGCACTGCCGAGTTTCAGTGGTTAAAGTTAAAAATGTGACCTGGGAGATTGAGAGAGAAGAGGTTCAACGAGCGTTTTTAAGATTTGTCCTCTAAAATTAACATGGGAGTAGATGGGGCCGTGAGAGGGAGTTGCTGGCGCATCAGTGCTCTCCGCCAAAACTATTTGTCTGACAGCTTCAGCAGTGGTATCACTGCGACCCCAACGAATTTACCTACGTTTCTATCTATAAATTATTTCTGTAGAGTGATATTTGTGGCCATGACAGCAGTTTACAAATTTATTTTTCGACAAATTTTCCCTTCTCCCCACACTCTAGCGATGATGTCACGCACTCTGGCAGTTTTTTCAGTTGGAGGTTCTCGCAATACACACCCATTCATTTTTTGACCGGTTTTTGGCGATTTATCGGCAAACCGTTTGGCGAAATTCTTAGAAAAGTCATAGCACTCGATTCCCGGCCGAGCCGCACGTTTTGATACCTTTTTGTGTATGTGCGACAAAAGCTGCGGGAGAAGAAGCGCCCGAAAAACGCACGGAAGAAGAATAATAACTAGAAAATTCCTAAAGCAATTTTGATTGTGCCTTGCTCTGGCCCATATGTTAATACCATGTCTACGTGCTAACCGCTAGCTCTGCGCTAATCGCTAGCTAAGTGCTAATCGCTAGCTCTGTGCTAATCGCTAGCTAAGTGCTCACCGCTAATCGCTAGCTAAGTGCTAGCTTTGGTAAAGGTGTTTAATTGTATTATGCTCCTGAAGGAGTGCTCATGTAAATTAAGGAACAGCTCATAGTAGGGTAAAATATTTAAGGTGTATTGAACTTATTTTGTGTTAATATTAAAATCATTCAGCTTTAAATTGTTTGCTTGTTAGCCACCTTCTAATTATCTTTAGCTAGCCAGCTAGCGCTAGCTTATTAATGCCATGTAATCCTCCCTATAGCATATTGATAACCTGTCATCCTCCTTAGCTAGCGCTAGCATATTAATATCATGTCATTCTCTTTAGCTAGCTAGCTAGAGCCAGCACACATAAACACATAAACCAAAGGTAGCGCTTAGCTACGTGCTAATCGCTAGCTAACTGCTAATCGCTAGCTAACTGCTTATCGCTACATACATGCTAATGGCTAGCTAAGCGCTAATCGCTAGCTAAGTGCTAGCTTTGGTCAATGTGTTTAATTGTATTATGCTCCTGAAGGAGAGCTAATGTAAATTAAGGAACAGCTCATAGTAGGGTAAAATATTTAAGGTGTATTGAACTTATTTTGTGTTAATATTAAAATCATTCAGCTTTAAATTGTTTGGTTGTTAGCCACCTTCTAATTATCTTTAGCTAGCCAGCTAGCGCTAGTTTATTAATGCCATGTAATCCTCCCTATAGCATATTGATAACCTGTCATCCTCCTTAGCTAGCTAGCTAAAGCTAGCACACATAAACACATAAACCAAAGCAAGCGCTTAGCAACGTGCTAATCGCTAGCTAACCGCTAATCGCTAGCTAAGTGCTAACCGCTAATCGCTAGCTAAGTGCTAGCTTTGGTTAATGTGTTTAATTGTGTTATGCTCCTGAAGGAGTGCTAATATAAATTAAGTAACAGCTCATAGTAGGGTAAAATATTTAAGGTGTATTGTTCTTATTTTGTGTTAATATTAAAATCATTCAGCTTTAAATTGTTTGTTTGTTAGCCGCTTGCTAATTATCTTTAGCTAGCTAGCGCTAGCTTATTAATGCCTTGTCATTCTCTGTAGCTAGCTGTGTGTGTGTGTGTGTGTGTGTATGTGTGTGTGTGTGTGTGTGTGTGAGCAGGCTTTAGTTGTCATGGCAATCAGGGGAGCCCACAGCAGCTGCGCGCGCTTTCTCTGTCTCTAACTCCTCAGAGAGACAGAAAACAATTAAAACGAATCCCCTCAAAAGCATGGCCAGGAACGACCGAAATGAAAACCGAAAAGACCGTGAGCGTCGTCATCTTGTTGACTATAGCACTGCCGAGTTTCAGTGGCTAAAGTTAAAAAATGTGACCTGGGTAGATTGAGAGAGAAGAGGTTCAACGAGCGTGTTTCAAGATTTGTCCTCTAAAATTAACATGGGAGTAGATGGGGCCGTGAGAGGGTGTTGCTGGCGCATCAGTGCGTCTCCCGCCAAAACTATTTGTCTGACAGCTTCAGCAGTGGTATCACTGCGACCCCAACGAATTTACCTACGTTTCTATCTATAAATTATTTCTGTAGAGTGAAATTTGTGGCCATGACAGCAGTTTACAAATTTATTTTTCAACAAATTTTTCCCTTCTCCCCACACTCTAGCGATGATGTCACGCACTCTGGCAGTTTTTTTCAGTTGGAGGTTCTCGCAATACACACCCATTCATTTTTTTGACCGGTTTTTGGCGATTTATCGGCAAACCGTTTGGCGAAATTCTTAGAAAAGTCATAGCACTCGATTCCCGGCCGAGCCGCACGTTTTGATACCTTTTTTGTGTATGTGCGACAAAAGCTGCGGGAGAAGAAGCGCGCCAAAACGTACGGAAGAAGAATAATAATAAGCCCGAGGAAGAGTAGTATTGTGCTTGCTTTGCAAGGCACAATAATAAGCCCGAGGAAGAGTAGTATTGTGCTTGCTTATGCAAGGCACAATAATTAAAGCATCTTTCAGCCATATAACTGTTGTGTGTTTCTGTTAGTCACTTTCCAGTGCAACTCTGGTGGTGTGGGTGCAGTGCAGCAGAGCTGGCTCCAGATCTGTGAGTAAATCAGTTAAACACAATATCACACGGTTTGTCAGGAAAGAAGATAATAATAAACCAGTGAAGCCAGAACATGGATTGTTAACAGCAGTCAGAATCTCAAGACATTGTGTATTTTTCTCTTCACTTGCACAATTGAGTCTCTGAATTCGTTCATTGTTTCGGTCTCTTCAAGGTGAACGAGTCTGTTGAAGTTTTGGTTGAAAATGTGAACGATAACCCACCAAACTTTGCCCAAAACCACTTTGTGCTGGAAGTAAATGAGGTGAGTAGTGTTAGTGTATCAGCTTCATGTATGTGAGTTTCAGGTTGGATATGATGTTGATGTTTTTGTCTCCTGCAGCTCGCTCCAGTGAACTCCACAGTTGGGCTGATAGAAGCAACAGACGTCGATTCAGAGCCGCTCTACTATCGATTAGAGTCTGCAACAGTAAGAACGTATCTAATGTAATGACATAGTGATACTGGACTGTACTCGGGGGTTAAAAATCAGTTACTGCAGGTTTAAAGGACCAGTGTGTAACATTTAGGAGGATCAATTGTCAGAAATGGAATATAATATCAATAGGTAAGTTTGTATTAGTGTACAATCACATGAAAATAAGAATTGTTGTTTGTTACCTGAGAATGAGTTGTTTTTATCTATAGAGGGAGAGGATCTTCTTCTATGGAGTCCGCCATGTTGAATCACCATGTTTCTACAGTAGCCCAGAACAGACAAACAGTACACTGAAGGCTACTGTTTATTCAGTTGGTTGTAATCTGCAACCTCACTGCGAGACGCCACTAAATCCTACACACTGGTCCTTTAAGACAGTGGTTCCCAACCTTGGGGGTCGGGACTTATGATGATTGAGGGGATAAAAGAGATAAAAATATTCAATTACTAAATTAAGTTTGAGCATCGAGGTTCATTCTCATCTTTGGGAACATATCTGCAATATCACTTTAATAGACATAATAATAAACAACTAATGAGTGACCTTGAGTTTAGAATATTTGATCTCAAAATTCTTTGAGGGCGTAATTTTTTTAGTTTCTTAATTTTTTTGTGCAACAGTAAGTTAGATAGTATTCCCTACCATTATTATGCAGATGACACTCAGATTTATGTCCAATTTAAAAACCAGTGAAAGGACTTCACTTCCTCCTCATGTTTCAAAAGTTTCTCACTTTTCAAAACCTGTATTTAAAAAAAAGAGCTTGCTTGTTTTTATTGAAACATACTACAACAAGTTTTTAGCAAGACGTTCTCAGCAAGAAGCTATTTCTATATTCTGCCTGCCATCGGGTCAGATTCAGTCAGATTCCCAATGAATTCAATGAAAGGAGGACGTGGAAACAATACCACCCAAATGAAAGTTCCTTGTTGCTGCTTTAACTTTAGTGGGGAAATGTTTTAATCTTGTTGTTTTTATTGTAAAAACTTTGTAACTTTGTTTTAAAATGTGCAGTATAAATGTAGTTTTTATACTATTATTATTATACTGTTATACATTATTTTATCTTACATATATGTATGTTTTCTGTCTCTGTCTGTTAAACCAGGATAAATATTTCCGCCTAGAAAACATCAACACTCCAAAGATAATTGTTAAAAGCATCCTGGACTACGACGTTGTACAGAAGATCTCTCTGGTTTTACATGTGCAGGTAAAGTAATCCTCTATAAAAACAACATCCAGGCAGCTGCTTCTCTTTTACCTTTGACCTGTGAAATGTGTCACATGTTCCAGGACACGTTCAACGGTTCGGCCTCCAACGAGCCCTTCTTCACATCTGTGGCCTCCATCACGGTGAATGTGAAGGACGTTGACAACCGGCCCCCTTGGTTCCAGCCTTGTTTGAGAACCAACTTAGGAATCGCCAAACTGTGTGTGAGCACCGGCTACAAAGGCAGAGTCAATCTCACCGAGAAGGAGGTGAGTTCCCACGATGACGTCCTCTAAGTCTTGAAGCTGAGATTCATTCTGGCTGAGATGTATACAAACAGCAGATCACAGATTTTGTTCATGGGGTGATGGATCAGGGGTTTGGACTTTATTAAGAAGGTCCTTTGTTAAAACTCGACCCGATCCGCTAGGACCTGGCAGACCCCTTTTCTATTATTTTTTAAACTGCTGATGCCTGCCTAACTGACATATTTAATGGATATTATATATTATACTCAACTGTACAGTGAACCCACATATTGAACTTCAAATATGAATATAATTGATGTTATTATTTTCCAATAACATAATATGCAGTTTTTTTAGTTGTTAATCACGTTGAAGTCGAATATCACATCCTGAATCTTTGTGTTAGAATTAATTAATTAATTAAAATTATCTTAGAATGAGCTGGTTTTACCGACAGATGCTGCCGGCCACCTTCTGTAGAGTCCGCTATGTTGAACAACCATGTTTCTACAGTAGCCCAGTAAAGACAAACCCCAAAAACTGGTTCTAGATAGGGATGGCCACCATAGTTTCTCCCTGGTGAGGGAGGGTAAAGCAAAAACAACATGTCAGGTTCTTGAACTATCAGGGAATAATTGTTAACATTTTAAGGGGATTTTCTTGATGATAAACTTTACCAGTAGTTGACCAGGAGCACCTGAATGCACCATCAGTTTTGGCTTCTGTAAAACTGTTTCATTTTTCATGGATGGAGCAGTTTCAGCTCAATCCTCCTCGAAAGGACCAAACATTGTAGGCTGCAGCTTTCAAAGAGACAGATGCAAATTAAAATCTCATTTTGCGGTTTTAACTTCATCAGTCCACCTCCATAACGCATTCGCCAGCATCTAATGTGATAAGAATAATACATTCAGTCACTTGGCAGATGGAAGTTATTCTTATGCAGCTTCACAGATAGTGGTGATAGATGCTAATGAAACAATGGAAACTGTCGCTTCATCTATAACCACCGCTGGGAAGTCACGTGTTGAGAGCTCATCAGATGTTTGCTATTACAGGTCTGCCTGTCAGAAAATGTCTGAAAATAAATGAGAACATATGCAGGCTGCAGAATCTGTGCATGATGATTTTAATCCACAGGAAGGGCCGCTGGTGCTGGAACCTGGTCCGGTGTTCGCCAAGGACGGAGACAAGAACAGGAGCGAGCAGATAAGCTACAGAATACTCCGAGGTTTGAACTCAACCACATATTTAAACTATTCTTTTACTCACCACCCACTACAGGTCTCTTTTATGATGCAGACATAAATTAATAGGATTTTACTTGTACTGTTATTACTAGGAATAGCAGCAGTAATCTTAATCTTTTCAACGCCTTTGAAGATTTCACAGACCTCTGGTTACAAAGTGAAAAAAGAGGAACTCATCATGAAAACAAGACAAAAATAAGTGTTTGCAGGGCTTCATTTTTATGGATATTTTGCATTTTTTCAAGCTTTTAAACATCTGGAAACATTTTGAAATCTTCAGAAACAGCTTTTTACTGTGAGTGAACATTTTCTGCTAAAGTTAGAACAGTTTTGGTAATTTCACAGTTTTTTCTCACTGGTTTGAAGTCGGCAAGGCTCAGTCAGAAGAAATAAACTGATGTTGCCAAGTCAATCAGATCGGATCTGATCAAACCAGACAGTCCTGATGATAAATAACAACTAACATTACTTATTTAGTTGTGCATATTTTCAGCCCTGTCTTAGAAATTACGTTTATATACAACTAATGTGCAACAGCAAGATGTTTTGAGGGAAATATAATGCCCAACAAATTACTTTTTCTGTTGAAATGAAGATTGAATGCTTGCTGAAATATGAACAACCCACTTTGATCGATTTCACACTCGCTAATAAAGACAATACTCTTAAACTGGAAAGACGGAAATAAGTGATCATGAATACTGTGTGTACTGTAATGAGCTGGTGGGGGAACATATAAGGTCTTCCTGAATGATGTGTTGATGTACTGATGTCTAAAGAAAATTAAATAATTTTTGTTGCTGATGGTGTTTTCTGTCTTCAGGAAATGAGGGAAATATTTTCCAGATCGATGAGGAAACAGGAAACATCACCATGGCTAAAGCTGCGGATATCGTCGGCCCAATAACTCTCACGGTTCTGGTAAAACAAATTCTCTTTTTGTTCTGTGCTAGTTTTAAATGGAAAACCAAAACATGAAGCTCTTTAGTTATTGCGGCATATGAGCTTGGATGTAACTTTGGTCTAACTCTCCTGGCCATCAGGCGTCACAGGTGACCAACAGGGATCAGTTCGCAGTGACGCAGGTGACCATCGAGGTGATGAAGAAGAGCAGAAACCCTCCTCGCTTTGAGAAGGAGCGATACGAAGGATTCATCTACAGTAACTCCGTCCCCGAGAGCATGATCCTCCGAGACCGGAGCACCAACCGGCCCTTCAGGGTCCGAGCTCGGGACGAGGACTTTGCCGCTGTGAGTGCTTTTTATGTGCAGCTGTGTTAAAAAGTTTTATTTTCAAAACTATTCTCGCTATCAGTCTGTTTTGAAGATACCTTTAGTTAAAGCTGAATTAGATAAACATGAAAACCTATTTGCTGGTTTTGGCTGGACACTTGACTGACTGATTCTCCAGTGAGGTGAGCCAATACAATACAATAGTACAATAAGCCAAAATATAATAAATTCAAACACTCAGAAGGTTAATCAAAATGTATCTAAACTGATAACAATCCATAAAAATGCTGTTAACCCAGAGATAATCAACAATTCTGTATTAACAATGGCTCAGATGAGTAATAAGGGACAGTTCGTAGTGACAAACCCAGAGATTTATCACCAACTCTGCAGTTCTTCTCAGCACTTCTCAGCTTCGTCTCCAGCAGCTGTTTTCAGAGAAAAAGCTCTAATAAACCCACTGTACCCTACTAGCTAACCACTAAACAGCAGACTGACACAATGAGAGAATAGCAGGTGAACACTGTGGAGCATTTAGCAGCTACAGAGCCAGATGTTTCTCTTAGGAGTTGATGGTGACCAAAAGCAGAGCTAAAAGAGAAACTGTTGGATGTCTAAATAGGCAAATTATCAACTTTAATAAATTATATCTATGTCATGGCTACAGATTGTCAATAGTACTACCAAATTCAAGTAACACCAAACTCTACAGCTCAAGGCAGCTTTCAGCTTTTGTACATCGTTGTTTGGGTTCTCACCGAGCAGCAACCTCTGTGGCTGGTTGATTAAGCCAACTCGGAAGTGCCTAAAAAATTGCAGTTCCTCTAACAGCCACTAGAGGCTGGCTCCAGCGGTGAGTCTCCATAAGGCCCCATTTTAAAATGTTTACAGCCTGGTACAGAAAACACTCTTGGTTTCTAGAGTTAATTTCCCCATTCATGACAACCATACAGGGGTGAATCTTTATATAACCCTGTTTAAATTATATTAAGGCTTAAAGTTATGTATAATTAAGGACATGGACGCTTTGAGTGACAAGTGGTTGGTTTCAGTAACCAGGCTTCATTCAACCCGCCTGAGCTCCACATGTTTGCTCATTTTTGGATTAGCTGGGAGCCGGCAGAGCCAAGACTGCCAAGATGGCGACGGCCAGAGCCGACCAACGACTCCTCAGAAACTTCTGGGTGATGAAGACTATGTTCATTTTAATTTAAACAGTCTATGGTTCGCACACAGTCTCTCATCTTTCAGTCTACAACTGCAGATTGCTCTTGTAAGAAAACAAACTCAGATAACTGAAGCGTTCCCTACTCATCCAGAACCACATTGAAGGAGAGCCAGATCATTTTTCACAGAGTAGATGGAGACCAAATCAGAGATAAACATACAAAAAATTCTCCATGTTGACACAACCACGACTCCAAATCAGAGATAAAGTTTCTCCAAAACAAACTGATAAGCTGATGGTAAATCATGGCTGTGTTTCTGTGGGTTTATTCTGGTAGCTGTCTGTCGCCTAGTGGTCAGAAATCACTAAATGAAGCTTTAAATAACATAAGACAAGACCTCAAATCCTTCAATCAGGTTGTTTTGTGTGTGTCAGGGTTTGAATCCAGATGTGAAGTATGAGGTTCAGTACAGCAGCTACGTCAACGTGACCTCAGATGGTTTTGTGATCCTGAAGAGAGTTGTGAAGACGGAGTCCTTCGCGCTTCAGGTAACAACAGATGTGCAACACTGAAATATCTTTTTCTTAAATTAATAATCTTGAAGATTTTCATTTAAATAACTGTTCAAAAAAAGGGTTACGTCCGAATGAAGTAATGGTGACTGAGCCTATGGTCCACTGATGAAAGCCTGTGGAAAATCACAAGCGGTTTTCCATCACCCAGCAGTGGTTAATCAGATACCATTCAGTCTTATGGAGAAATGAGTCAACTTCTCAGTTGATTTATGAGCTCAGTAAACAGTTTCCTGATGAGTTTATGCTCTCAGTCTCTAGTTTCAGTCTTCTTCCAAACAGCATGATGTTCATTTAGTTTCACAAACATATTTTAGCGAACTGTTTATCTGGAATACGAGATCGTGTGTGACCAAACTCGAGGCTTCAAAGTGGTTCTCCACAAACTGATCGGTGACACTGTTTGGATCTCGGACAAGTGAGGTCCAAAAACCTGCAATTACCGCTTATCGCCACAGGTGCCGCCACAGAATGAAACAGAGATTTCCAAAATTTTAATTTATATTTACACGTCTTACAATTGTGTTTCTTTCTTTCTCTGAATGCAGCTCAGAGCCGTGGACACAACAACAGGGGAGTTTGGAACAGCCGCCCTCTCTGTTCAGGTCATACCTGGTAAGATCATCACTGTTGTTCTTTGTGATACTGACCTTTATTTTGTAGGTATTATGCTGATAGTAGCTTTGGGAAAACTCATTTTTTGCATCACAAATTTCATTTTCATTGAAATCACTTTAAATCATTATGATGTGACATTTTTGGGGGGGGTCTGTAAATCTGTAGGAGAAGATTTATAGGTCAGGGAATCTCTTCAGAACTCTCTAACTTTATTGTTAGCAGGTTAACATATTGTTACCAAAATATTATCATTACAAAATAGTTTTGCTGTCTTTAAATGTTTCCCAATTATTATTATTCTTTGTTTTGGCCTGTTATTACCCTGTTACATACATTTCAGTCTAATATTACCCATAAAACCCATTGTTAATACCAATTACCAGGTTATTACTTTGATAATTACATGATATTACTTAATTATTCTTTATTATCAAACTAATCCCCTGTTATTACGATGTTATTACTGAGCTGTAATGTAAAGTGCTGCCCAAATTATCTAAAATCAAGCTCCCTTCCTCCATAACCGATGTCCCAAACAAACCCCAATCTTATTCAGACCATTTCCTGTATTATAAACACCTTTGATTCATGCAGATGATAAATTACTATCAACAAATCCCATGAAATATATTTATATATATATATTTACATGTTTGTAGTAGTCCTGGTGAAATCCCATGGATATTAGATTGAGACTATAAATTCTGGAGGTGAAATCTTGAGGTCATTCACTCGTTTTTTCCTGCAGCGGTGGCCATCCCATCTCCCTCTAACATCGGCTACCGCCCTGGCGACATGGCGCTCCTGGGTCTGGTTATGGCGGCTCTGCTGGTCCTCTGCCTCATTGTGATTGGCTTCTTGATTTCCCGCTTGTGGAAGGGAAATGCCAGCATGGACAAAATATGTGAGGTTAGTCAGTGTTTTTCTTTCATCTCGGGAATGTTTGGAGCTGATCTTCAGTCGGAGACGTCATCATAAATGCTTCTTGGGGAAAGTTTTAAACAGGAAAAAGTATTGTTGTGTTTTGGTTTTCGTAATATTTTTAATGCAAATGTTGACTGTGTGTTTCCATATCAAAGGAAGACATTTTTGTTTTATTGCTGAGAGCTGGATGAGAAGATATGAATGAGATCGTGTGTGTATGATGATTATGGAGCTCAAGTCGGGAGGTGATTAGCTTAGCTTAGCATAACGACTGTAAATAAGGGGAAACAGCTAGCCTGGCTCTGTCCAAGAAGGAAAATGTAAGTGTTAAAATTAACACATTATATGTTTTTTGTGTAACTCACTTACTTTACAAGTACGATCTACAGTGAGCCAGGCTAGCCATTTCCCACTGCTTCCAGTCTTTATGCTAAGCTAAGCTAATCACCTCCAGACACCAGGTCCATACCCAACGTACGGACAGGAGAAGGGTATCAAACTTCTCCTCTAACTCACAGCAAGAAAGCAAATAAATGGATACAATTACAAAATAAGATTTAAGTACATGTTACTGCAATAAAGTAGAGTAGAAGGTTGATTTTACTGGAAGTTATATGGAGTTCTGAAAGTGATAAAATGAATTAGTAAAAGGTCTGAAAGCAAAGAAAGTCTTAAAAGTGGAAGAAATTGAAGTTCCAGGAGCTTCACTTTTATTGTTTTTAAGTAACTTTGTAAAGAAACTTTGACAGAAGCCTGTTAAATAAAGATAATGTTTTCCCTTTCATGTATTTGGTCACTTTCAAACAGTTTTGAAGCCTTCGGTTCTGACTGCGTTACAAAGGCACCTCCGTACTGTAATGGTTCAGACGTCAGAGACAGACTCAGCTGTTTCATGCTGCATGTGCAGAGCTCCTCCTGTGCGGCTTTGATGAATATTTATCAGCTGAAATCCACAGAAGGGCTCTGTGCTAAAACAGAACAAATGAACCTAGCTCACTCTCGGGGAACCGCGGTGGCATCTGTAACATTGAACAATGCCTCAATATCCTCCATGCTTCATTAACTGCTGTATTAATGAGGGGCCTCTCTCCTGCCTGCAGTGCCTGGGCCCCTGCCTGAAGTCCGACCAGCCCCGGTCCGGCCACCGGGACTCCCTGCAGTACACCAACGACGGCTTCCAGAATGAGGGCGACCCGAGCCGCGGGGGTGCCAGGCGCTGGAACAACGTCCTCCCCAGACGGAGCACTTTCCCCCAGGCACGAGGCCGGGTCATCCCCATGGAGAGACGGAACCGCCACTGCTCCTCCTGTGGCGTCTTCACCAACCACGTCCCCAAGGGGAGCCCCTCAGCCAGGCTGTCCAGGAGGGGCAGAGGAGACGGGGACGAGTACAGCGCGAGGTCGATCCTGGCCAAGCAGAGGAGGAAGGAGGGCCAGAAGACGGTGTGGTTCAAGGAGAGCGAGGACTCCTCTGACATCGAGGTGGAGATTATCCCAGACACTGTGGGCCGGGTGGAGGAGGAGACTGAGGAGGAGCTGGAGGGGGAGGTGGAGATGGAGGGGGTTGTCAGAGACCCAGCAGCCCCACTGAGAGAGTCTGATGGCGGGCAGGAGAGCCAGGGCACGGAGCCCAGCGAGGGGGAGGACCACGGAAAGGAAAGCAAGGAGCAGGAGGGCTGACAGCAGACGTCAGGGGTCAAACTTGAGTCGGGAGAAACTGAGCTGTTTGATTTCTCGTCACTCCTCGGAGACAACAGCCTGAAGCCGAGGTCACAGCAGTCCAGAATGACACTTCCAACATCTCTGGATATCTGCTGAACCTCCAGATTGATAAAGTATTTATTTTCTACTGTGAGTATCTTAGAATACAATATGTTTAAAACTCGTCTCTAGCGTCAGTGAACTACGAGATGAGATTTTTTACTTAACTCTATTACCGAGGTGACAACTCCTTTAAAGGTTAAGTATAGCGTCACCCAACGTAGGTCTTATTGTTGTAGTTATCAGTTTTATTGGTAACACACTGTACTCACTAAATGTATTGCAGCCTTGGTACGACAAAGTCCTGACGGCCCACAGCCCAGGGGTTGGGAACCTCTGGTTTAGATTAAAACTGCTTTATTTAAAACATAACTGAGGGTCTGACTTCTCTGTAGCAATGTCTCCACGTTCCCAAGTCTCAGCAGTTGTTTTAGTGAGTACAATTATATCAGAACAGATACAAACGACGGCCAAAAAAAACACTAAAATAAGAACCAAGTTGTAATAAAATGGCCTGTTAAATGCTGCAACATAACTTGACACCACTTTCTAATATGGCATCATTTATAAAGGTTGAAACGAGCTGCAACTAACTTTTCATTATCCATTAATCTGCTTTTCTCAATTAATCATTTAATTTTTAATTGTTGATAAAAACATTAGAAAACAGTGAAAAGAGCCCAAATGTGTCGTCTCGCTTTGTTGAATTAACAGTTCAAAACCCAAAGATATTACATTTAATGTAATTTAAGACAAAGAAATGCAGAACATTTTTGAGAAGCCGGAACCGTTGAAAGTTTGAAGTTTTTGCTTAAAAAATGACTGAAACGAATAATTGATCATCAAAATGGAAGGCAATACATTTTTTGACTAATCATTGCAGTGGCTTTATTAGTTAATAGTAAAGCATTTATTAATGCTTTATAGGGAAGTTCAAAGTCACTGATCTTACCTTTGAGGTAAATTAGATTAGTACATTGATGTGAGTCTCTTGCTGGTTAATAAAGGCTCAAAAGTTTGTGAGTCGTATGTAATTATGTTGTTAATGTTATTAAGAGCTCTTATAATAATCTGTTTAGTCTGAAGTTTTAATTGCTATAAAATATAAGATGCTCTGCAGATGAACTAAAGAGGTAAAAAAAAACAAAGCAAGTGTCCTTATTAAGGATTCTGAATTGATCTATAAAGCATTAGTAAATGATTTATTAACCATTAATAAACCCGTTATAAAGGAGGTCTAATTAGAAAGTGGCATTTGTCAGGTGTTCCTATTTGTTGTTCACAAAGTTTCTTAATTGAATTTTCAGCAAATGTTCTTTCAGTTTACAGTTTATCAACTTCACAATATAAAATTAAAGGAGATTTTGTTCATATTATCCTCTTCTACCAGTCAGTCAGGGAGCCGACTGACAACCAAAGGGCCAGAAACTGATGATCGCTGTGATGATTTCAGTCTCATTCCACTTCCTGTACAAGCTTTACTAAACTCAACCAGAAGTGTCTGGATTTTATATAGTGAAAATATATGTGAGGACAAACTTCATCTACTGAATACTAAACAGCCACGGACGTTTTTATGTGGACTATATTATCGAGCATGTTAAGCAAAATAACTACTTTTATGGATAAATCTATGGTTAATGTACAGTTGACCTTTTTCTACATTAAAGTGATTGATTGGGATTGAGGGAATAATAAAGTTTGAAGGATTTGTTGAGTCTCGAGATCGTCTTGCTGGTTAATTCATTTTTTTTCCCGCACAAAGTTTTCACACAAGCCGCCTGTAGGAAGTTTTAATATTTAAAAAAAGGAAGCAGAATTATGTTTATTTGCTTTCTTGCTGAGAAGATTGAAATCACTTTAATATGTGTGCGTTCAATGTGGAGCTGCAGCTCGCCGCTAGTTAGATTATTAATTAATTATTGTTGAGTGTTGTAGATATAGCTATATATTTGTGTTTTTTTATTAACCTTTTTCTTTGCATTTTTTAAATTATATGAAATGTCTGAGTTTCTTGAAAAGCGCTCTATAAATAAAATGTATTATTATTTAAGTGAAGAGAGAGAGAGCAGTGATGGTCGAGAGAGCTGAAGATTGAATGAAGAGAGGGACTGAAGTTGGCGAGAACAAACAGTGAATCAAGTAAATCCAATTTGAAACGTAACAAACATTTTTCTGATATTTCGATATTGTAGAATAGCCGCTAAGTAAGCTCTGCTAATTCTGTGATAAACACATTTCATTTCTTATAAAATCTTGTATAAAGCCGTTTTGAAGTTTGATACACTGCCTTGAGTGATGTCACGTGAGTCGGCGTCAGTTGGTGCTGAAGACTACAGTTTTGAAACAGCAAAAAATAATAATTATCTGTTGGCATTTACAGACATAAGTGAGACCTTTATCTTCTTTTAGTGAATCTCTGATGGAACTGTTGGTGGTTGAATTGCATTGTGGGCAATGTAGGCGCAAAGGTTTGACAGGAAAAATGTGTGTATTAAAACAACGAGGACGATATCTCTGGTTCTGCTGCACCAATTGTGATTGTTTTTGTTTTAAACTTAAGTTTTCATGAGCTGCAAAGGTGAGAGTTAGCATTTTTTAGCTCTATGCTAACCAAACATTTAGCAGATTACAAAGCAACCGTGAAACAGTAAACACAGATTCTTTTAAAAACTTTATTCAGGCCAAATCACATTAAGATACATCTCAAACTCAGTAGTAGAGGAACAACTTCCTCCTAACACACAAATTAAAAGTGTTCAAATCCCTGATTAAAAAAAAAAGTTAGATGTTTAAAAAGGGCCGTACCGAAACAACCAGCTGATCCCTGATCATGTTCACCCGTCACACAACCCTTCAAACCTTTCCATCGGTTACACAAACGGAAATCTTACAAATTCTTCAGATCAGTGCATTTAGGCTCTACACAAAATCTATTGCTATATCCTGTTTGATTGCAAAGCAACAGAAAATGTGTGCAGCACAATTTTTTATCTCCTAAAACTTGGATTTTTAAGCTTTGTACTTGAACTTGTTGCTCCAGCGACAGATGTGCTTATTATTTGGACTTGGCAAATCCCACCCTGTTGTTCTCCCGATCGAAGACGGTGTAGTACTGGCCGATGAATACGTCTCCCAGAATCCACAGGGGCCCGGCGGGGGCAGGGATGTCCAGACCCATGAAGCCGCTCAGGCACATGGTCTTTCCAGCCTGAGTTACCTGGATGATTGGAAGGAGAGAGACTCAGTCAGACACAGAAAAACAAACCAGTGGATCTGTATGTGTGATCACTGCTCAGACAACAAACCGGCCCCCTCCTGGCTGAGCCAAGTCAAACAAAGCTGCACTTGTTTGGTTTGTTATGACGCAACACGCAGTCACAGGGTTGCATTGTTACTGCAGGAGTGACTCTCTGGCGCCCCCTGCTGGTCGATAATGCGCACAGTCTCACCTTGAGGATATACTGCTCTCCGGTCAGAGTGTACAGCTGCCCGCCCACTTTGAAGGTGATGACAGGCAGCGATGGGACCTTGTCGCAGTTCACCATGTACTGAAACACACATACAGAATACACTCATCAATACACAGCTCGTTATTTTAACTGCAAGCTGACATGAAAATAAAAAGTATAAAAACAGCATTTATTTTTTAAGTTAACATTCAACATTTGTATAAAAAAGGCACACTAACATGAAAGTAGAGCAACAAAAATAAAGTAAATGTGCAGTGCAACCTGTTAGTTTAAGTGAAACACTGAAAAATATACTTTAACTTACTGGGCTGCAACTAGCAGTTATTTTCATAATCACTTAATCAGATTATTTACTTAACTGACTTTTATATAAAATTACAGACAATAAATAAAACACTTTAAACTTGCCATCACTTGCTTATTTTGTCCGGCCAACAACTCAAAACCAACAGAGATTTAGTTTACTGATCACATGAGACAAATCCTCAGTTCAGAAGGTGAAATAAGAGAACAACAGTTGAAACAGTTGGTAATGATTTTTGAAGTTGTGATTCTATATTTTTAGAAATCCAAGTCTAGGCTTTCATTAATTCCCAACATTAACTGTTCTGCAAAACACATTTTATAGTTAAATAATTGCTATTTAATTCGATTTGAGTGTTTTTTCAAATTAAAATTTAAAAAGGATAAGGCTGATGTTATTTTATAGTTTTCCTTTGTTTTTAAATCCCATGAAAACACTAAAACCAACAATGTGTTTGTGCGTCTCTCAAAACTCCCAGACTTCCTGTCTGATACTCATTTAAGGGCAACACGCTCTCTCACCTCTCCCTGGACGAGTGGAATGGCTCCGATGGCCTTCTGCAGGGACTTGACCTCCGCCGAGGGTCCGGTGATCAGAGACGTCCCGGTGTCCACGATGGCCTCGCAGCCGCTCTTACACAGACTGAGCTGGCTGCCCACCATCATCCTGTCACACACACACACACACACACACACATATAGATACATGATTCAGAATTCAAAGACCATAGCTTTATAGCTTACAGTCAACCTACCCGTCCTGGACTCATTAGAATAATAATGTCTCATCTCTGTGTCTGGAGTTGAAGCTCTCACCCGTCCATGTGGATCTGCCAGTAGGCCTGGCGGCTGATGTTGACGTAGTTGAAGTCTCCGCTGTAGTATTTGGGGTCGGTTCCTCCCAGCAGCAGCTCACCGCCGGGATCGGTGTCCGGGTTCCTGACAACAGAAGAGACGTGGACTCAAACTTCATCGCCACAGACAGCAAACATAACGATCAGCTTTCATGGAGAAAGTTAAAGTGCCGTTTTACCCAAATTGCCAATATCTGACAACCAGATATTTTTTGTAGATAGCTTTGGTTTCAAATAGAGACGTTTTAAAATATCAGTTTCTGAAATGTCTGGAGTCTTATAACAAGAG